ATAAGGTTGAACACTGTGAAAGCCACCCACTGCATGGCTACCAGCCTCCTCCCAGTAGACTCAAATCAAGGAAAAGCTTTATGAGAACTACCACTCCTCTTGGCGTCCCTCCAGCAACAGCAAGGGTATCCCTCTGGGCAGCTAAACCAGGAAATCCCAACTGGATGCCCCCCCCCCCCCCATGAGGGTCTTCCTCCAGGGGCAAACCAAGAATGGGCAACTTGGAAGTCCCTGAACAGACTCAGAAGTGGAGTGGGCAGATCAAAAGACAACCTGGCAAAATGGCACTATCTAAAAGAATCCCACACCTTATGTGACTATGGAGCAGAACAGACAACTCTGCATCTGTATGCTTGTCCACTATGCCCTGCCTCATGTACAGAGGAAGAATTGTTGGAGGCTACAGACAATGCCGTTGCTGTTGCCCGTTTTTGGTCAAAAGATATTTAGCTGTACGCCTTCTATTTTTATCAGTTTTATACTAATTTATGCAATGCTTTTGACATGAAATAAATAAACGTATAGTATATATAATTTTCATGTAATATTTATTATATAAATGAGGAGCATTTTTCATGCGACACACCTGTAAACTGCAGGCAACACACTAGTGTGTCGCGACACAGTTTGGAAAACTCAGCTGTAGATTCTAGGCTGATTGACTTGTTCCTTTTTCTTTTTGGGGCTGATCAGACTAACTCGTTTTCTTTTATGTCTCTTCATACACAGACAAGAGGGTAATGGATATCATTGCTCACCCAGATAATTACTTAGATGACCTTTTTGCGGACTACTACGAAAAGGCAGCCAGCTTGACGGACATCTCTGCAAGCTATTTCCGAGAAGGAGCTCACATACGTGTGAATTTACTCAATAACAACATCCCCAAGGGCCCTTGTTCCCTGTGCGGGATGGGCAGCTCCAAAAGGGAAACCGTTTATGGGTGCCTGGAGTGTTCTTTCAATGGACAGACCTTTGTAAGACTACATGCTGTGCCTTGCTTTGACCTATGGCATAAGAGGTTGAAGTAAGCCTTTAAATAAAGACATTGGAGTTGGATCCAGGTGACTAGTTGCCCTGAACACCACAGGACTTTCTGTGAATCACAGGTAACTGGTTTTAATGGTCCCTAAACACAACTAACTTCAGCCTGGGCCCAATCTTTTATCAACATTTAGCCGTGTTTGTGCCATAGAAATTTGTGAGTTATAATTGCAAATACATAAAAATGAAGCCAGATATTATTTTATTTAGTTTCATGCTTTTCAAGCAATATTTTATTCTTAAATGTAAAAATATGCCTATCTTAATTTGTTTTTGAAATATGTTTTTAAACTTTTTTTCTGATTGCATAAAGAAGAATTTTTAACATTTCCTCTTTTGAGTTAGCATTTTAAGAAAAGTAAATATGGGGCCATGGTGACGCAGCAGGTTAAACTGCTAACTTTCAGAACTTGCTGACCAGAAGGTTGGAGGTTCGAATTGGTGGGACGGAGTGAGCTCCAGCTGTTAGCTCCAACTTCTGCCAACCTAGCAATTTGAAAATATGCAAATGTGAGTAGATCAATAGGTACCGCTATGGCACGAAGGTAATGGCACTCCATGCAGTCATGCCGGTCCCATGATCTTGGAGGTGTCTACGGACAACACCAGCTCTTCGTCTTAGAAATGGAAATGAGCACCAACCTCGACTAGACTTAATGTTGAGGAGAAATCTTTACCTTTACCTTTAAGCATGTTTAAAGTGATGTATAGAAATATATATATATATATATATATATATATATATATATATATATTTAAAAGGAATAATGTGCAAACATTTGCTTCCATCTAAAAAAAGGAATGTGTTTTTATCTTAACTACACCACAGTAATATGGGAAGAAAATGTATGAATTATTGATTGGTAGTATAAATAATTAATTGAAGTATCAGATTAAGAACATGCTTGTGTTTGCTCTGGTTAAAAATACAGAGAAATAAAAGCTAGACATTAGTACAGCATAAATGTTTAAATTTAAATTTGCCAGTGTCCCTACTTATCTCTCCCATTTAGTCTATATATTTGTCATAATTATTGCACAGGTTAAGTTTGCTTTTAAATTTATGAGACTTTCTACTCTTATTTCCTCTTGAGGGAGTTGAATATATATATATATATTTAAAATAATAAAGGCATATCTTTTTGTGGGAAAGCATGATTCCTCTTGCTTAATTGCATATCTGATATACTTTAGTATTTATTGCTTTAACAGCAAAGATATAGCCATTAGGTGGCACTATCTCCTACTGTGTTTAAAATTGCATGCTAAAATTGGCACTGCTGGGCGCCTCTAGAATTCCTGCTAAATATTTATCTGTCAGGACATTTGTAAAAATAGAAGGGCTATATTTTATTTATTTGGTTACCCTGCAACAAATGGCTTTAAGGGTGATGTAATAAATATAAAAATATGCCCCTCGCTACATATATACATTTTTAAAATGTGTAAAAATAGA